CTCCGGTGGCTCCATCCGTTCCGTACGTGGCTGCCTGGTGGCTGGGACCGGCGTCCCGCCCCACGTCCCCCTGTGGGACCCTTCCCGCTGAGCAGCCGGAGCTTGTTGGGGCTGAGCATCCAGCCGGAGGGCAGGAGCCGGGGATTTCGGTAATCCCAGCCCTGATCCTTTTGCAGACGCCGCCGTGAGCTTCCCTCGAGCCGTGCCGAGGGAGCTGGGGTGATGGGCCGTGTCTGGGTGTCCCCTGGGGTGGGCGTGTGGCACGGTGAGAGCGGGGCGAGCGTGCAGCGAGCGAGCGTGGAGGGGAGACTCGTTAGAAGCAATTAGGAGACGAGCGAGGGACATTCTCTAACCACGCTGGAGGCTTTGGAAAGGGTCCAGAAAGCTGCAGGAGAAATCCCGGCCCTGAAACCCGATGGAAGAAAGGGGCTGTGTTCGGGGCGAGCGAGCTGCGTGCCGTCAGCCGAGCGGGAGGGGAAGAGGAGGGAGGTGGGGAGGCAGGACTCTGCCTGTGAAAGGCCCTCTGTGCTTCCCGGCGGAGGCACGAAGGGGGTTTATACGGCCGTGACAACAGGGAATCTCGCCCCGGTCTCTGCGCCACGCGGTGGGGTCCGTGCGTGGTCCCGTGCAGCCCTGGTCTCGCCCTGGGGACCGCTCCTGGCCCAGGCGCCTTGTCTGCAGGCTGCTGTGACTCAGAGCTGGTTCGTGCGGTGGTGTGCGCATCTCCTGCCCCCTCCTCGCACGGCTCTGAGAGCATTAGCGTCGCTCCCGCGCTCGCTGGGGGAAGAGCTCTTAATGCATCCCCGCCGAGCATCCCCCGGGTCACGCCGGCCCTGAGCGAGGTCCCTCGCTTGTCCTCCAGACCTTCCCCCATCCTCTCACCGCTGCTGCCCGCCTTCACCTGGCTCTTTCTGGCCCGGGGAAAAGGGAAAAAAAATCAGCGCGTCCCGGGGGCGCTGGGGGGGCAGCCGGGCTGGGCACGGCTCCTGGGGGGCACGGGAAGGATGCGCAGGAGGAAACCGCAACACTCCTCCCTCCCGGCGCTGCTTTCTCCCTCCTCATCTCGCACCCCCTGACCCGCTCCTCTCCCGCCGGGGTGATGTTCGGCCCGAAGGGGCTCGCGTTTTTTTGGAGGGAGCAAAGTGATGCTCGTTGGTCCGAGGTGCTGGCCTTTCCCTCCCCTTGTCAAAGGCGGCATTTATTTCCAGTCCCCACACAGGCTGGTTAGCGTTCGGCTGTGTGGCTGAGGCTGCCCTTGACTTCCCTCTCCAATATTTAAATTGCAGGGGAATAAACATCGGCGCGGGAACCTGGAAGCCTTTTTTCAGGGCTCTGATGGCACTTTTGCTCCTCCCGGGAGGCGGGCGCCTCTCGGAGCGGGTGCTCGCCTCCCCGCCGAGGAGAGAGGGGGTGTCGCTGAAGGCACGCAGGTTTTGGGCCTCGGTGTTGCTTAAACGCCGTCAGAGCAGTGGTGGCATTTAATTTAGATGCAAAGGAGAGGAGGGAGCGCGAGCCCGACCCGCTGCTTCACGGTGGCTGAGAGGAGGGGTTGCGTGAGCCAGAGAGGGTCCCTGGTGAGGACGGAGCTGGGTGATGGGGATGGAGAGTGAGCGGGGGGCTCACGGCTTTGGGTCGGGAACACCTCCAAGGATGGAGCCTGTGCAGCCTCGCTGGGGGGAACGTGTGCTTCCCCCCGCCCCCCTTTTGCTCCAGTTCTCCGGCACATCCCTCAGGAGACAGGTTCATCTCCTCCGAGGCCGGGAGAGATACCCCACGTGGGTACCACAGCACCGGCCGCTGCATCCCATCCCCGGGCAGGTCCCTCGGGAGCGCTGAGCTCTTCCTCACCGCTGTGATTAATCCACAGATCAGCGTGGGGGGGAAAAAACCCCTTCCCCAGTGCTGTGTGCCGGAGCAGCCTCGGCACAGCGAGGATCGGCTTTATTCCCACCGCCGGTGCTGGCAGGGGCATCCCGAGGAGTGATGGCGGGGGGATCTCCATAGCGGAGGAGATGAAAGGAGAGTGCTGGATGCAGCCCCGCTGCTGCCTGCCACGCTGCCATCGCCCCCCGAGGGGCTGCGGGAGGAAGGGTGCGGGGATGGGGACGGAGGAAGGGTGCGGGGACGGGGACGGGCGATGGGAGGAGGGGGGCAGGGAGCTGCCAGGAGGGAGCGGGAGCTGCCAGGGGCTGAAGAATGGCTGAGAGCAGAAGAAGGGGCTTTAGAGCTTAATTTCCTGTCCCCGCGGTGGGGATGGGATTTGTCTGCCATCTCCAAGGAGACGCCGGCTGCTCGGCTGCTGGAATACTAATGGCAGTGGGAGGCGTGCGGCGGGGGGCTCCGGGGGCAGCCCCAGCCCCTCCTGGGCCAGGCTGCAGGGTCCAAAGCCGCCCCAGCATCTGCCACCGCGG